GTGTAATTATATGTGGCCCGAGAGATCATATCAAATGTGTACTGGAGTTGGCCCACCAGTATATAGTAAATATATACTGGCAGAATTTGTAGTATTAGCAGTGTATGCTAATAACAGTGTATGTGTATGCGCTATTTTATAGCACATACATTTTTGTTTTTTTTTGTTGATGGCCTGTGAAAAAAAGATTTACATTAAGAAACAAATCCTACTGATGTGTGTTTTATTTCAAATTCCATTTGTAATTTTAGTTCAAAACATGCACAACTGCCATCAATTCTTAAATAAATATTAAGTTCGGCCTACAACTTCGCCCAGTATCAACTTGAGTTTGACACCTCTGATTTACACCATTTATTACAAACGTCAACTAACAATTAAGACCCTCTTCAGTATTTCAGCAAATAGTTGCTTCAGCAAAACTAAACTACAACGTCATACCGATTTTCCCTGGGTTTCTTTCACGGCCACCTCTGGTTCCTTCTCAGGTTTGTTTTCAGTTGAGAGCTCCTCGAAAAACTTGATCAAAACATCACCAAAATGAATTAGTACACTTTGAAGTGTGTCAATGAGATGAAGCACACGCTACCTGATGTTAAGATATTTCAAAACCAGGTATTATACTTACACTTTTCTTCCCCTTTTTATCTTTCTTCCCCTTCTTCACTGTTTTTTCTGTTGAATTAAGTGATTTTTAAGAAATAACATAAATGAAAAAAAAATCCATTCATTTCTCCTTAAGACAAATTAATTTGAATTTGTCTGGAATATAACAATAAAATCAACAGTCATACTATCAGCACAGAATATGATCAACAATATATGTAAATATTAGGGTTCAGGACTTTTCATTTCCTGTTTCATTACCACTGCGCTAGTTTTTTTTTAATGAATAAATCAATAAAAATATTATCAGCACAGAATATGATCATCATTTTTTAATGAATAAATCAATAAAAATATATATCAGCTTATGACAACAATAACAGAGCTAGCAGGTCAGTACCCCGCATCTAGTTATTAAATACGAATACAGATGGAGAAAGTCACTGTTTCCCATAGTTTGGGATTTTAATAAAAAAAAAGTAATGAGATGTAGAATTGCTAGAACATCACAGTTTTTGCTGCGATTTTTAAAGCAGTAGGCTAAGAAACAGTGACTATTAGATTTCCACATTTACATTATATTTACACTAACTAATTGTTAACTTCATTAACAGTACTATAAATTATAAGAAAGTCTATTAAAAATGACATGCTTTTAATTATTTAAACAGCTATTATTATTATTTATTATTTAAAGAACTCCAAACACACCCATGAATTACGTTAATATACCTCAAGTTAGCAGTGAGTGGGCGCTAACGTTAGCTAAAATGTGTTAGATTTTAATCAAACTGCACTGGACAGTGTGTTTGATGCTGTCCACGTAGCATATGGCGACCAAATGCTCCTGCTTTTATAAAAAACAAACAAACAAAAAAAAGAATAATCTGAAACATTATATCGTAATAACTAATATTTTGGGGGAAATCTAACACCTCTAAATTAAATTAACAGACAGGTCAGGTTTTATGTCAGTTCTCTAGGGTGGGCGATTTCAATGAATGTTCGAACATGGCTCGCTTTCAACAGGAATTCCGCTGAGATAGTCAACATTCAAACCAACAAAGTAACTAGTACCAATTGACAGTGACGCTATTGTCCATAGCAGTGCAGAGAACTAGCACTCGAGATTTTGCTGAATTTTGGCACTGCCAGAGTAGGGTTAGCTAAGTAGCTAGCTGCTAACCTAACAAAAAACATATATCCTTTACCAGGAGCCGCAGTGACTTCGTCGTCCACCCACTCTGCTTCCTCCTTCGCTTTCTTAGGCATTTTATTATTATTTTTTAGTAAGACTTTAGTAAAAATGCGTAGGTTTGGATCCTTCTTCACAACCGGCTCTGTTTCACAGTCATACACATGTCATATCTCTTCTTCAGCGTTTTGTGGCGATAGCTTGCAATTATCATATTGGGCGCTTTACCGCCACCCTGTGGTGAATTAGAGATAATAACCAAGCTCTGGAAATTGGATTTTTGTCTTGCCGATGAAAGGTATACGATGGCAGCAGCAGTTGTTTGAATATCCTAAATGCTAATAATGGCATTTAGGATAACAACGTTGTGTAAAATAGCAAGAAGATGAATTGTATAATTTACTTCACTAATAAATGAGGTAAGAATACTGAGTATTACAGTTTTGACATTTGCATTTTAGAATGACTATTGAACACAGCAGTAAGTTGGACTTTATTATTTTACGGTTTGACAACCACTACCGCTATCTACAAAAAGAATAGAGAAAGACTCCTTCATGTAATAAAATAAAGTGGAAGGCAAAGGTCAAAATTATCAGGTCAGACTTAAAGTAGATTCACAAACTCTAGTACGCTAGCATTCCCACTTACTATACCTCATGAAAAAATATCCACCAAGACTAATGCCTAATAAAAAAGTAAATATATCACAAGGTCAAGTGAAGAATTGTAGTTCAAACTTTAAGAGGTTGGAGACAGCACTGCAAACGCTGTAGCTAAATAAACATGTAGGCAATACAAGAAGTTATTAGTTTCTCTGTTCTGTTCCACAAAGAACAACCCTTGAAATTGCCCTTAATCTTTAAAATGTGCGAAAGCGATAAGTAAAATACCGGAAGAAATAACCTGCGTGCCATTACGCAGCTTATTTAAGGGCATGCAGCAGTAACTGCAAGTTCCGATGGTCTTGAACGCAGCTACGTCGCTGCTTGCGACGCGTGTTTCGGCAAGGACACACACAGAGTCTGGAATGACATTGTGTAAGTTATCGAACTAGTGTGTTTGGAGGAGTCGCTGCTGTCGTTGGCCTTCAGGAGACAACACACCAGAACCCAGGCACAAGAAGCGCTGTATTTAGAGGGTCTTAAGCTGGGATTTTTGCCTGGAAAGGTAACCTTATAGTGGAGTCTGACAAGCCGGTAGCTAGCTCACTTACTATTAGCTGTTAGCCTTATTGGCAGCGACTGTTGAAGAGCATGAAGATGAAGTGTCAACGTTTCAGGAGAGGCGTCCTGAACCATATATACAAGCTATTAATAAACAATAATATCTAAATGAGAAAAAAAACACATTTTGGTATAAGCTCCCTTACCTAAATGAAGAAAAAAAAAACACATTTTGGTATAAGCTCCGCTTACAACCAATCCGCATATATGTTGAGTCAGTGCATTGCCATATGTAATAACACTATTCCTTATTGGTAACGCAGTTTATTATTAAACAAACCTACGAATTGGATTCGTTTTCTACAGTTTTGCATGCTACCAGAAAACACCAAATGTTTTTTTTTGTTTGTTTGCACATGTTTATGAAGCTCGCTATTATGCTAATAATTATTAGCAAAACACGGACCAACCGTTAAAATACCGGTATTTGTTTTGATATTATGTCTAATATAGATATTAAAAGACACATGAACTAGTCAGTAGACGTTCACGGATTAGGTTAGCGCTAAACTATAACTTAAATCGATTATTATTAGTATTGTTGTTGTTGCATGCGTTTAAAATTAGTCGACGTTAAGAATACATGCATTTCTGCTGGTTGGTGTACTAATTCAGCGTCCAAAACAGCCTGACTGTGTAATATATATTTATAATAATTTAATAAAAATAATATACTATTAGGTATCAATGCGTTCATCATCATTCAGTCCATAAAATGCAGAACCCCCTGCCAAACATAATTACAATAATATTTAATTGTGTTTATGGTAACAAATTATATTTAAGCCATTCTTTATTCACACATTAAAGAGGTATTTGTCTTTTCACTTATGCACATTCAAATATATACAAATGCAGTCTGCTAGTGAAACACGTAACTAGTCAGTAGTGAGTTTGTGTCTGGTTAATTCACTCTCTGCTGTCACCGTGTAGTTTCTGATTGTTGCCCCGTGATGCGCTTTAGGTCATGTGCTCCCAAGACAGGCTTCGACTACCTCATTTGAACATCAAGGTCCGTCAATAATTTCATTTCAGTCAGATCAGCTGGTAAATATTTGTCATTCAGGTCAAGAAAGACTTTTTTTTTAAATGTCTCTAACCACTATTAGACTCATTTACGCAGTATCTAGGAGAGAAAATGTCTTTTGTATTGGTTAAATCTTTATGTTAGCTCAGGTACAGTTTCCTTTCCTTTCCTTCGAGAATGCCTGTTGTGAGAAACGAAGAGTCCTCAAAAAATGAGTAAACGCAAATTTCCCTCAACTCCGTTTTTCTATGTCCTTCTCTACGGCCACAGGTTCATAAAGGTGAAAGCACTTTGTTCCATTTGGGAAATCTCTCCAGAGTGCCCCCCCTGTCTGAAAGGAAGCGCCGCTGTGTCCTCGGAGCATCCTCTGATGAGGGTGATGCTGTGCTGGTGACGGAGGTTTTCTCAGCCGCTGTTGTGAATGGCTGTGAGCAGAGGGGGCATCGCCTTCTGGGTTGGTTGTGTTCACAACAACAGCAGAGGGCAGCCCATCAGGAAACAGTTCTGGACTATCGGCCAGGTACTGTTTTTTTTTTTTTTCTGAAAAATCTCACGTTTCGTTATTGAGCCCACACACACAGAATAACAAAATCGAAAAAACGAATGATAACATGGTTATACTTTTTTGTGTGTTTATCATAAACTAGTCCCATATGTTTCTTAAACTTATCTCTGTTTTGCAGCAGAAAAAAGGTAAAATACGGATTTTACATGTATGTAAAATATGTATGTATATATATATATTAGATGTCTGATATTAACTTTTTTCCGACTTAATTTCCGATTCCGATATCAACCGATACCGATATAGACCTGGAAAAATGTATTTATTTATCTGTACAAACCGCTGTATGGGTATGAGATTAATTAAATGAGTGGCAATGCTGCCATCTAGTGCCCTTCACTTTAATATACAGCCGTTTATCCCCAAAACTATTTTAGGGCACGCATCTTTTGGAAACCCAGGCATTGTGTTATCAGGTTATTATCGGAGAACAAACCGATTACAATTCTTACAGATATTACATGATATGCTAATATTAGGCTGATAATATTGGATATTCCTAATATATATGTATGTAAAGGTATGTATGTATATATTTTTTGTCAGCCAGGCAAAGATGTCAGAACATAGTTAATCACATGTACGTGCAGGAGGTCTTGGGTTCGAGTCCCAGCAGAACCTCATACTTAATGGCGCCTCCTGTGGAAGTGTGTGAAAACACAAATTCTCTAAGTACTACTGTGGTGTGGAATAGTATTTTTCCTTTTTTAGTATTTGGATAAGGACTCTAGCTGTGTTTGCAATTAGGTGAACATTCCTGTTCTTAAAAACGGCTAACCATGATTTACTGCTCCTGCAGGCGGTTGACTTGCTCTGCATCCGTCAGACACGCCCCTTGAGAAGTGCATCATGGGGACTCTCGCCACCCAACAGCCTGAGGTACCAGGAGCCCGCTAAGCAGTCTGTGCTCGCGCACCCATTCCACAACGCCAGTCAGCCTCAGAGATGTAGTTCCTACGACGATGACTGGGACGAGCCCCCCAGCGAGTGCGTGCCGGCGCAGCAGAGGGAGCCAGACGTCTTCCACACGCAGCAGGACATCGCTCTGTTGACTTACAGTAGAATGAAAGAGCTGCTGGCTGCGGATCCCCCCGAGTTCTTGCAGTTCTTCTTGCCCGTGACTACAGTGGACGGACGCAGGGAGGATGACATCAGCATGGGCACCTTGAAGAAAAACAATGTGGATGCTGTAAACAGAGAACACGGCTGCTTTAGGAGTCTGTTCCAAATGGAGAGGTGCCCGGCTCCTTTCCTGTACGGCTCGCAGTTTTACTGTTTTCACTGCCCGGACAAGGAGCCCGCTTTTCACAGTGCAATACAATCCAAGGACAAGAACATTGAGAGGGTCGAGGGGCCCGCTGTGCATCCGACTTACCTGTGTCTTCATGCTGAGAGCCGCGCACCCGAAGGAGACAAAGACGCAGAAGAGAAAATGGCCGTCATGTACGAAAGGCTGAGGTCCGAGGTAAGATTGTACTGGAGGAAAATATGTAAACATAGCATGATATCAATTTGTTCTTATTCTACCCATAAGGTACAATAAGGCTGAGTATCACCAGGGACCTTGTGATACAATACTATGTCAATATTTTGATACAGCGATTCTGCAATAATTGATATATGTTGCAATAAATTTCATCCACGATTTATCATTATATCTGTCACTGAAGACATTCAGAATTTATTGACTGAACTGAATGTAGTTCATCTGGATTACAAACTACAGTAATACCTCGATGATACAATACTATGTCAATATTTTGATACAGCGATTCTGCAATAATCGATATATATTGCAATAAATTTCATCCATGATTGATCATAATCTGTCATTGAAAACACATACGAGGGTAATCCGTTCCCGGACCGAGCTCGTAACTCAAGGAGCTCGTATCTCAAATCATTTTTTCCCATAAGAAATAACAGGGGAAAAAAATAATCAGTTCCGGCCCTCTAAAAAAAACTCCCTTGTTACTGCTAATAAGAATGGGCGGGAAAAACATGTTTTTAATTGCTATAGAGACAATCACACGCTTTTCTTAAAGGAAAACATGTGCACTCAAATGTGAAAGTGAAACCTATGGGGAAATTACCCATAATGACCTTGTGCTTTTGAGGACAATTCCATACAAACATTTCTTTGTAGCTTCTCAAATAGTGGGGTAGGGTGTCACCTGGGAGATGTGAGAGAGGGGACTTTTCAGTACACTGTCTTGAACGATTAACAAGCCTCTAGTCACTAGATGGCAGCATTGTAGCTCATTTTATTAATCTACATTGATAATCAGGGGATTCTGTGCAGAATGCTGGTGTCAACAACTCCTACAGTGGTGTGTACAGATTAAATAAATAAATGTTACCAGACTAGTATGTACTAGTACTAGTAGTGTGTGAAAGAACTTCTGTCCCCCTAGTGGCAGTATGGCAGAAAATAATTTTTTTTTTTACTAAAATTAAAACAACAGTTAGCACTACAT